TAAAATTCCTATGAGTTTGTTACCAAAATCGCAATTCACACTCAAACTCCGAATTCTTGCGTACCAATCCGCCACAGCCTCACTTTTCTCCTGCCTGGCCTCGTAAAATTTCCTTCTCTCCCGCCAAAAATTTACTTGCGGTGAGAACTGCTTCTCTAGCAAAGCTGTGAGTTCATCAAATTTTTTTTGTTGCCGGCAGATTGGGGTGGCATAAATTCCTGAGAAGTTTATAGGCTTGTACTCCAATAACACTGAGTAACGTCGCTACCTTCACTTTCTCATCTTCCACGCAACGAAATTCTGCTCTAGGCGTTCCTTATATATCACCCATTCGTCTTGGTCCCCGTTAAATTCACCAAACTTTTGAGGTACCGCCATTTTGCTCGCGAAAAGCACTGCCCGTGATATCGAACCGACTTTCAAATCGCGGATAATTAGATACTTTTCCCGCAAACTACACGTTCTTTAGCCTCGTCGCCATTTGTGGTGTCCCATGGCAATAAATAAAAGACTTGGTGCTGAATTAAAACTCCTTTAATTCCGACCTCGCGACTCGATACAACTTGTCCACTTGTCGTCGCCAGAGAGAGAGAGCCTCCCTCCACGTTCTCACTCTCTGACGTCATCATGCCGGCAAAGAAGGGCGCTGCTAATTACCGGCTGGCAAATACAATGTTGCCGACTTTATTTATTAAAATCAAATTAACAATATATTCCTAAATATAACAGTTTCGTTGTTTTGTTTTGTTCTGACCGCAACCTTTATGTTTTTTCTGTATTGGCTGTACCTTCTATATGACTCTATAGTTTGATGTAGTAAAAATTGTACATGTGTTGCTTAGGATTATGCTTTGACATTTATGTTTATGTTTATTTTTTATTTTATTGATTGTACCTCTTTTTTTTTATAACCCGATAATTTTTAATTACTTGCACATTATTTAAGATCATGCTTTGTCAATGAAATTTATTTTCCGACAATAATAGTATATTATATACCTAGGTAGAGAAGTTGGTCATTATATACCGAAAGCTTTATAATAAGGTTTATAATGCTTGAGGTATATAATGACTTTCTCTACCGAGGAATATATAGAATTTTTTTTACTACCTACTGCTAGTAAAAAATAAAAAATTTGTTTAAAATCTGTGTTGTAATTATTTTTTGTGAACGCCCTCTTGAAAGTGCTGCCCTCTATCAACAGCTTATATAACTTCCTATGTACCTACAGAAACCTGTATTTTTTTTCAAATTGACGTATGAAATTGAAATTGAACCAATAGAAACATGACAATATCCTTGCGTCATGACGTCATTTTCATTATTGACCTAGGTATTTTTTCATTATTTTCATTATTAACCTAGGGAGAGAAATTCAATTTTTTCTTAGAAAAATAGATTGAATAATGTCTATTTCTCAGGTTAGTAGTAAAAAAAGTATATTTTGATTGATTGATTGATTGATTGAGTTCTTGGCTGCAAATTTTTTTAATTTCTTACTGGATAACTTGAAACAGATTATTTATGATAGGCCTTTTAAGAAATGTTTGAAAGAATGGATATTCTTTGGTACAGTGGATAGATTAGCTATAAGAAATTTATTTAAGATTACTCAAATGTAAAAAAAAGAACAGTTTGTAAAATGTAGAATAAGTACTTAATTATATAAGGATACCAAATGTGACAAAAAAAAAACTCAATTGTGACCAAAACCCGATAGTGACTTATTAATTTCCAAATTATGACAAAAATACCGATCAGTGAAAAGAAACCCGATTTTTGACTAATCATGCAGTGGTTAATGTACAAAAATAAAATATTATAGTACAGGTACCTATCTGTTTCATTGTTCTTCTGTACCGGTACCTATGTGTTTCATTGTTATTCTGTACCAATTTCAAATATCAAATAACGGTCCACAATGCAGTTAATTCTGTATTCTCAGGGTTACTACAAACCGTTGAAATTAGGTCTAAAAGCTTAAATATGGAACCGTTGGAGGTTTAAGAGCCCGATAGTGCAAAATCAGCATGAATGGTGGATACTCTCTGGCTGATGGGAAGTAAATATTCTTTTTCCACGAAATCTTCATGAGCTGGATATATGTCTACAGTTGAATATGATACGTTTTTCATAGACAGTGATGTTATGCCGTTACCATTCATTAACCTAGATCCTAGCAATTTAAGTACCATACAATCCACAATCCTCGCTAATTTTTTGCCGTAACCAAATGCGAACAATATAAAAAAAACATGCATTGTGACTTTCGATTTTTCGATCAGCCGCTTTTTCTAAAAGCTGTGGACATTGTAGCAGCGGCGAATTCTAGCAATATATTTTGTCAAAGGTTTAGAGGGTTTCATACTCTAATGTCATTCATGGGCAGCATCGGAGATATTATGACTGATTATGGCATTGAGGAACTTTGGCAAACCATTTATTCAAAAAATACCATTCCACATATGATATCGGGACGCATGCTTATGCAAGATCATTGCGCAGTGGCGGCTCGTGGTATAACATATTGGGGGTGCACATAATTTGTAATTCCTAATAAATGCCGGAAGGGGGATGCCCGCCGGAGGCGCGAAATTTTTCGGGGTGCCACGCCCAGAAGTGTTTATTTTAGGCCTTTAAAAAAATAATTTATTGTAAGTGATCGTATGAGTTATGTGATGTGTTTACCTACCAATAATTAAAAATATTGTTAAGGGATTTCATATCTACCCTACCAAACAACCAACTAAGCTCAATTTAATACTTTTTTCGGTCTATCAAATCGTGGAAATTGAAGGATCTTATATCAATAAACTAGAAATTAAGTAACAAAGTAACTTACCTCGCTGAGTACATCGTCCTGGTCTAACAATTGTTTTTATACATAAATGTATTATAGTTTTCAATCTCACAATTCTCACAGACACGTTTTGTATTGAAAGATAAGAGTAAGATGTGATTTTGAGTTTTGATGTTTTTTAATTTTTTCGGATAAATGTACTAAATCTTTAACGCCGGATTTTGTCCATTCTGATGCTTCATCGCTTCCAAATAACAAACAGGGAAAACAGTAAAGACTATTACTAACATCACAACCGCACAACCAGTCAGTTTTTTCGTAAGTTTCCATTTTAAAAGTTCGTTTATAATCACGACTTTTGCATTTTGTTATGTTGGTGATTATTAAATTTGGCTTTGGACGGCCGACACATTTGATTTGGATTTTTTCCTCCAAAGAAAGCGAAGAAAATTTAATTGTTTTTAAATATTGCACGCTAAGGCTATCGGGGTTCAGAAATCCCGCCATTCTACACACAGTTTTCAGTTAAATCGCGCTCGAATCGAAATAAATTTAAAACAACGGCTTCCGATCCCAAAGTGCACTGACTACATGTGCACACCAGCCAGCTTAAAACATCGAACGTCGCTAAACCTTTGCGGGGAACAAAGAGTGCGGGGGGGCATAGTTCCACCAATTGGATTTAATATTGAAATGTGCAGTGAACGGGGCGATCAAGCGACGCGGTGGACGCTGTGATTCCAGCGTTGCCGGTTGCGTTTGTTTTGCTGGCGCATTTGGCCACTAATTTTTTAAATTAATACTTTACAGGTAGAATGTTAAAATTTGAAGAATGATAAAATTAAATTTAAAGTTGTTTGATATTAATTTGGGAGTGCACGTGCACATGTGCTCTTATGGAGGAACCGCCACTGTCATTGCGCTGTCATTTTCTAACTCATGAGGCCCTTAGATTATAAATTTGTACTCATATAGATCTGTCTGAGGATGAACTCGAAGAAATTCGATCCCTCTATGAAAAACCAACGGTAGATGAAATGCGACTTAGCAAGTTAATTGAAGAAATATCAGAGAAAATTGAGAAAAAGATTACTGTTCTTACTGAAGCTAGCCGAACTGGGCGACTATGGGTACCCATAATAAAATCCGGCTGCCCCCTCTTTGGGAGCAAAATCCCGCGGGAGCCCCCTATTTGGAGGACAGTCCCGCGGAGCCCCTTTTTTGGGAGGCGAAGCCCCGCGGAAGCCCCCATTTGAGGGCCACAACCCCGCAGGGCCCCCTAGTTTACGTGGAATAGCCCCGCGAGGGGAGGGGGGTTCTAATAATTTTTTTGGCCAATTTAGATATAGGTAATTATAAGTTGTTGTTTTTGATGCGAATAAAAATTAAAAATTAAAAAAAAAAAACGTATAGTTATTTACTCGTAGAAAAAATATTGTTCCTAACACGTGCGCAAAGTAGTTTTCCCGCATTTGAAGCTTATCCGAACTCCGCTTCGCGTCGTTCGTCTAATTGCTTTCGCGTGCGGGAAAACATAACTTTGCGCACTGATTAGGAAAACTACTCTTTCCACCTTAAATGCTAACTTTCTTGCACTACAAATATTTTAGTGATGACACCTAGTAAAAAACAAACAAAAAGTGAGGCAAATTTTTCAATTCCAAAACTAAATGGCGAATGACCTGTGAACAGGTTCGGTCTGGGTACTAATTTTTTCACCCTCCAATACTCCAATTGTTTTTACTTTATATTGTTCTCATTAGGTATTCAATAAGCAAATCCGATCATGTTTCACACAATTATTTGATCGTCTTACAGTATTTATTATCAAAGGAGTGCTCAATAAATAACAAAAAAATCGCTATCCTTTGCACATGTATATTAGATTTAAGGTATTTGGGCTTCTCTTCAATTCCGCTTCGACTCATGACATGTTATTAAATAATGAAATCTTCCAAGTCCAGACCTATTACTCGAGTCCGAGCTTTTTTTCTCCTCTATCTCCTCAATTACTTTGAAGAACGTCTTGATGTCTATAAATTTTTTAGCATGTGAATAAATATTTCAGCTCTTTACTTTGTAAACACCCCATACTTACTTCTTCATGAAATTTGAAAAAGTAAAACTTATTCACTTCTGATAGTATAAAATACATTGATCACATGACGGTTTTTTTTTTTAATTAAGGGTAAACTGAAATTCAATTTATTTGAAAAATGTATTTAATTTTATAAGATTAATAACTAATACCACATAATAGTTAAAAGTAACATTACTTAAAAAAAAAATAAAAACAATTATAGGCATAACCCATATCCCCGTTTCACAAACCATAACTTATAGTGAAGAGGCATACCAACCAAGAATTGACTTTATTCTACTTTTTAGAATTTTTAGCTTCTTGTTGGCGTCTTTTGTTTGCTATGTAAATTGTCCAGAAAAAGCCTATTAGATTGACTACTAATACTCTTAGCTGAAAATAATAAAGAACATTAAAAAGTTTGTTACATAAGTACATCATGAAATAAAGTAATTTTTAAACGAAGACAATCTATTTACATGAGTATGAAAACTGTGATGTATTATGGTCGCTACTTCCAGTTTTCATAATACATACTGTTTTAAAATTGCTTATATCAGATGATAATGCATCATGAAATTTTTAATTCATAAGTTGAGGTACTGCTAACTGATATTTAAGCAAACTTAAAATTCGAGAACTATAAGCCCAGAATACACTTTCAATACGGAAAACTAAATTGGCACCCAATTTTCATAAAACGCCATAAATGCAAGGTCAATTATTATAAAACAATAATGCCATTAACATAATACACTGCCGAGCATAAAATTAGGGTCACCCCATAATTTGCAATTATTTTTAAAATTTTTGGTTTTTGCAAATTGTTTTTTTTTTGGTGTAAAGTTCACTAACTTTTTGCGATGATTTTGTCGTAGTTGCTTGAATTTAAAAAAGTTCTTGTTGTTTTACCCCAAGTTTTGCTTGCAAATTATGGGATGACCTTAATTTTATGCTCGGCAGTGTATTCAAAAATTGTAATGTTTAGAATTATAAGTGAAGCCCTACCAGATTTAGTTACTTTGTTATTTGATAATATATCCAAAACATCCTAGAAATTTTGAATAATCTTCAACGTATAATAGTAATATTCAATATAACTAATAAAATAAGGTATATAAGTTATAAACAATTTGGTTTTACTTACCATTGGAGGCACAACGCTGACATTCAACAATTGCAAAAGGGTCAAGTATTTCCAGCTAGAAGTAACGACAGTGAAATATAGATCTTTCAATTGTTTAACAGCAGTGTCATGGTCTTTTCCTTCTAATCTTGCAAGGGTGTATAAAGCAAATGCCTAAAAATAATATTAACTTTAGTATGTAGGTACTATGTTAATTTTGATATTTGCATTTTTATAAAAAGAGTTGTTGAAATTAGAACACAAATATTTGTTATAGGTATATGCTAGTTGTAGTTTGATGATATTTGCGCATTTGCTAAGAACTGCGATGGTTTTTATAGGGTGTTTCAGCAAGGCTCACATTTTCTTCCACCGAGGGAAAACGCAAATGAACTGCCGGCTGCCCGTTGTCAGTACATGTAAGATCTACAGCAATTTAAAGGATTTGAATTTCGAATTTTTTTAGAGAAAAAAAGAACGGATAAAAAAAACATATCTGAAAACTTTGTAATTTAAATCAATATTTTAGAGAGAACTAATATTCAACCATCTCCCAAAATGTGTGCAACCTTCAACCTTCTTCCTGGTTGTTCTTAAGTATGGACCTTAATATTAATTAGATTATTTTCTCAAGGCGGGTTTTATGGTAATTTTTTTAGGAATTATTTTCAATTTTAATATTTCTAACAAACATTTTTGTAAATATGTATTTCATCTATGACTAGTTTTAGTGCATCACTGAAGGTACTAATGCTTAGTGTAGGATTTAACAAATCCCCCCAAGGTTTTTGTCTCCTATAAGTTCTAACCATTTATTATAAAATCAAATAACCCAATTCATATTTTATTGCATCAATAAAATATAAATTATGTAAATTTTATTGATCTTATTAGGTCAGTAGTATTTAAATATGTAGGTATAAAGAAAAAAAGTGTAATAACTCGGAAAAAATATTATGTAAAATTACCTGGTATAATGGAGAATATACTAATCTTTCCAAAAATAATCTTTTGGCAATGGCAAAGGACGCTTCATCGGGAACTGCCCGTTCTAGGAAGGAGTAGAAGTAATGTGGAATGGTTCCTCCAAATAAAAGTCTGAGGAAATTATATTTTTATATAAGCAGATACACAAAGATTAAACAACACACAACTGAACATTATTGAGTTAACAACATACCCATATACGCCATAAACTCCAAGGGTCTGTAAATCGATGACTTTGGACCCAGCGATTGTCTGCGAAGCAAAGTTGCCAGCTAATGCTACAACACAACTGAAAAATGATAAAAATTACAATTATTATTTCAAATAATATGACAAAAACTGAAACAGAGTATAAATGCTTGTATAAACGTGTTTGAAATTGTTTCGCGTTTTTATATCATTCTTTCTAAGTTCAAACGTAAAATATCTTAATTTGGTACCAACATGGGCGAAAATAGTGACGGTGGAAAAAGTGTGGAACAGAAAAAAAAGGTATGTAGTTGAAAAAAGTGCTTTTGCATGCTTTTAAAGTTTAAACAAGGCAGAAATTAATAAAATTATCGAAAATTAAAGGATGAATGCATAGTCAAACAAAAACCTCAAAAACCTTGAACTACCAGGGCCATAAAAAAAACTGCACACAATAAAGAAAGATATTTTAACGGAGTTTTAGCACAGACGATCCAAAACCTAGTTTAGATTCCATTTTCAAACGAAGGCACTGTAGCGCCCGCCCTAGTAGCATTTAGCCATTCCACTATAGATTTCGGCACCCGCCTCAATTTTGATTGGTCAATTTGGAGTGCAACTATAGAAGGTGCGGAACTACGTAGTAGATTGTTAGAACGGTGCCCAAAACGAGAGTGCAATGTCATATGCTTCAGTTGATTTATTTTAAACTGTCGCTGTCGCCAATACTATACCAATACGTGGTGCGATAGTGGATTGTGCGAACGGTGCTGAATCGCGAAGCGGAATGTAGAATTGATTGGAGGCAATGTTATGTTGATTTATTTATCGCATTATGCAGTTTTGTTGCGTTCTACTCAATAATATCCATGATTAAATGGAAAATGTAATCAAAATAAATATGTAATTTGCTTTATCGAGGAATATTCAAAAGTGCGGACGAAGTAAATTCGTAGCCATTCACTACGAATTTACGAGGAACAAGTATTATGTATGTTCGTACTATGTGTAAATTACATATTTTCTAATATAAACTACAATAAATATTATATACCTAATTCCTAATTAGTTGTTTTTTATTGAATCGCCTCAAAACAGAAACAGTTACCTATTTGAAGAACTTCTACATTCCAGTAATTAGCCCCATGCGTAGTGTTCCAAGGAAAATCGGTAGCGCAAAAATAATCATACGACATTGCACTCTCGTTTTGGGCACCGTCCTGACATTCTACTACGTGGTTCAGCACTTCTGTAGTTGCATTTATGCATAATGAGTATGAACATTCCACTCATGATTTGAGCACTGCTCACACATTCCACTATGCGTTTCGGCATCATATCAAAATATTATTTAAATCAGCCAATCGCCTTAGAGACGGTGCCGAATCGTATAGTGGAATGTCTAGATGCGCCTTAGTATCACTGTTCAAGATGTTGATTGTTGGCTAGCGGTTTCCAATTTGTTACAGATTTTTACTAGGGTGGCTGCAGTGGTAGGGTTTATATTTGCTAAGGGTGGAAATAAGTATACAGCACTTAAAATATCTTAATTTATTTAATGAGGTGAACAAAATTCTTTACTCTTAAGTCTTAAGACTCTTAAGAGCCGAGTTAAGAGCTTATCTCTTGAAATAGTAGCTTTAATTTCAAAAATATTTCATCAAATCCTTTATTTATTTTTAATCGCTTCTTTACTATTATACTCTAAAGTTTTTACGATTTACTTAGCAGTCTAGAATTATCGTGGGCGTGACACTCTGTCCTGGGTGATTATTTTATTTTCCTATCAGAGCACTATTGTACTGTCTGTTCATGTTTTATATTGTTTCCTAAATAAATGTTTCATGTTTCTGTCAATATCTGACCTCCTAGTTATTTAGTTATTACTGATTTTAACATTTTACCGCAGTTTTGTTCTTGTATAGTTTCTTCTCTTTGTGACTTATCATTTGTTTATAGTTTTTTTTAACTTATTTATTAACTGTTAAAATTTAAAAATATATATGTGTATTTACTGTGACAAGAATTATAGTTAGATATATTTAGTTTAGATTTTAGATTTAAGGATTGGCTTTGTCCAATATGATTGTTGTATCTTTCAGGGGCGGCTTCTCAATAAGTGCGCTCGTGCGCGCGCACTGCCTCCAAAAACCAAACAAGAAAATAAAATTAAAATTTTGGAAAGAAAAGAAACTTCAATTAAAAAATACCTACCCAATTTTCTAAATTAGGATAAATATCTACTCATTTTTCTATTTTTAAATTCGCACGAACGGAACGAAAGCGCGCCCTGCGCCTGTCTTGTATATTTTTTTCTCCCGCTTGGTTGTGCTGGTGGTCCGGGTGGTCGGTGTGGAATCGTTCGGCGCTCTGGGTAAATGTGTTTTCTCGCTGTGCGATTCATCGGGAATATACGGTAAGTCGCCCGATGAAAGGGATGCGCCGTGCGCTATTTGAATACACACTTCCAATGTTGTTTCCACTCAATCGAGAATGTTTCGATGTGTTTTCACCATTTTGGCGGTTTGACAACTTTGTTGTTCGCGGTTTTTTTTTTAATTATAAATTTCAATATCAATTATGTATTATGGCTAGAATACAAACATTCAAGCCTCATTTAAATACATATATTTTTGTTTTCGATAATTTTTCCTAAAGTAAAAAGAAAAAAATCAACATACAAAATAAATGTAAAACAGGACGTGGCACCTCCAAAAAATTTTCCAAGAGCGCACAACCACACTAGGTTGCCACTGGCCGCCACTGGTATCTTTTGACAATAAAGCATACTACTAATACTACTACTAGCATAAAAATAATTCGACCAGTGAATGCATATTACTGATAGCCAATGGATAAGTTATAGTTCAAATATTTAAAGTTCACAAGTTAATTTCAATTTCACAAAAGTATTTACTATAGGTTTTTTATGTTATATTCAGGATGACGTCATCGAACAAAGACAGACAATGTTGTCAATGCCTATTTTTTTTCTTATAATTAACCAAAATGTCATGTGTCAATAAATCTGACGACAGCTAAAAATAACGAAATGAAAATTATTTATACAAGTCATGCAACATCGTGCGCCGTTGCCAACCAGAAACCTGAAATTTCTCTACTTTAAATGTGTTAAAAAGTACTTTTAGTTTTGTCAGGTTGGCAGCAGAAATTTACTAAATGTGACGTCATCCTAAATATAGCGTAAAAATCCTATATTTGCAATGCAATGTTCAATTCTCTACTTGTCGTCGCGACGCGTAATTTAATTTACTACCGATCCCGAATTTTAATGCTCGCCACAGAAAAAAAAACACATTGGTTTAAAAAAATATATATTTTATCGGAATAAATATTTGTTTGATAATGGACAAACAAATATTTGTTTGGAAAAAAAGGCTATTTATTTGACTTGTTTAAAAAAAATAATATTTGTATCAAACAAATATTTGGTCAAAATTACACCTTCATTTAGTAATTTAGAACCGCACTTGTTCACTCAAATAAATATTATAGTTGATGCGAGTAAGTAATGCGCTTTTTACAACTAATCATATATGGTTGTTTTAACAATGAATTAGTAACCTTTTCTTTTCTAATTGGTTAATATGAATAAATGCTGTAGTTAATAGTGAACTAGGAAATGCTTGATTCAAATCAATCTTTGTTTTTTCCGAGTAATTTTGGGATTGTTGGATAGCCAGAAAAAATATTTGCTTAAAAATCTTTATTTAATTTTCACAAACATTTGAACATCAAAGAATATCTAAGTATTGAAAAAACAAAATAAATAGGTACCTACACTTTATTTTTTCCCAAGATAGATTTTGACAATGAAAACTTTGAAACATAAACAATAACGCTTGACCCTGATTGGTCGCAAAATGAGGTGTTTCTGCAGGTTGACATCAGTTTTACAATAGCGACCAATAAACGGCATTAGCGGCATTATTTATGTTTCAAAGTTGACAATGCCAAAATCTATGTTGGAAAAAAATAAACCATAGGTAATAAACACAATGAAAATGTTTCACTTTCGCGCTTTTCACTTTTTCACCTAGGGTTTTTGAGGTCATCAAAATCATGATTCTGATGTAATTATCATTGAGGGCTTCAAAAGTTTTTTTGGTATTTGGAACTTTTGTTCTTCCCTTTGGAGGCAGCAAAGTAGGTGGCAAATAGAGTTGGATGGCCGTTTCAAAATCTAGAAGGAAAAAAATAATGGTCGTGAACATTACATATCCATACATAATATAATATACAATAGAAAATAATTTAGGCCAAATTTCGTTAAAATCGACAACAGGTATTTAGGCAATTTTAAACTCAACTAAAAATTCAATGCAGCCTACCTTTGTTTACGCCGTAACTGAGTCATCTGAGGCCGACAATGCTGTTTTTTTCTTATTTAAAATTTTTTCAAAAAGATCCCGAATACGCCTTTGAAACTCTGTCTGTTGTCGAATCATGTTTTAGTTAAAAATCATAGGAAATCTGAAATGAAAAGAAAAAACAAATGTCAAATGTTGACTATGAGTTTAACATAGTGTAGGACAAATTGTACAAGTGATGCACTGAAAATTACAAACATTAAAATTACTCCCCTATGATGGTTATTCGGTATCTGTACTTTTGCTTGACTGATCTTTACAATTAGGTACAATAAAGAAAAGTTCAAGAGCCAACTAGGGTTCCAGAATAGGCAAAGTTTTGGATAAAAAATGGAAATTATTACCTAAATAAAAGGCCTCGAATTTAATTTCTGTTCTAGAACCCTCCTCTATATGGACTATATGATCTACATATATGGGAGGTAGAAAGTTAGGTAGTTAAATTGACAACACTTTTTTTGTGTGCGCTGCTTTTTAGTTCATCTAAATTTTCCCTTAGTTGAAATAAATAAAGAATAAGACATTTCAAGGTATCATTTGTTTTCTTAACAAAATATTTAGTTGAAACAACGACTATTTATTCAAGACACAATTACAATGAGAAAGCAGATACGAGCCAGGACTTCACAGTGCTGGCAATACTGGCCCTCGTACTGGCCGCCATTTCAAATTTCACCTACCTACATATTTATAATTTAATGCTAGATTA